CTTTCTTGGGGCCCATGGTCACTTATTTTCCAGAAAAAAATCACCAAAAACACTGTAATACAAAATGTTCCGATTGTATGCTTGGATGTTACCGCGGAGGCTGGCTGGTAAACAATGCCACCCGCGGAACATGTGAGCGTGGCTCAGGCCGCACATTGGACGCGTCTCGGACGAAGGCCGCTGAGCGGGTTTTTGGGCGCTATGCGGGGCAAAATTTTAGCGATCAAAGCGTCCGCTATGCGGATTGTCCGCTATGCAAGGCGTCCGTTATGCGGGGGTCCACTGTATATCCTTCCAAACTGCCAATATCCCAAACCCCTCCTTTAGAGTGCAGGCTTTGTACTTTCCATTTCCAGGACTCGAGTCCGGTTATATAAAATAACTGGTTTCCCTGAATCCCTTCACTAAATATTACCCTGCTCACACTCCAACAAATCATCAGGTCCCAAATACCATTTGTCTCCATTCACTCCTATCTAACATGCTCGCGCATGCTTGATGGAAGTCCAAACCCCTCGCCCACAACAACACCTTTACCCCCTCCCTCCAACCTTTTCTAGGACGACCCCTACCCCGCCTTCCTTCCCCTGCAGATTTATACGCTCTCCATGTCATTCTGCTTTGATCCATTCTCTCTAAATGACCAAACCACCTCAACAAACCCTCTTCAGCCCTCTGACTAATACTTTTATTAACTCCGCACCCTCTCCTAATTTCCACACTCTGAATTTTTTGCATAATATTTACACCACACATTGCTCTTAGACAGGACATCTCCACTGCCTCCAACTGCCTCCTTGCTACAGCATTTACAACCCAAGTTTCACACCCATATAAGAGTATTTGTACTACTATACTTTCATACATTCCCTTCTTTGCCTCCATAGATAACGATTTTGGCGAAATTATTGCATACACAAATTTTCACTTGTCCTATATGGCAAGATGAACGTTGCTTTTTGCCTCCACATATACGTCAATGCACCACTCGCCTTTTTTCCATCATCAATTCTATGATTAACCTCATCCTTCATAAATCCATCCGCTGACACGTCAACTCCCAAATATCTGAAAACATTCACTTCTTCCATACTCCTCCTCCCCAATCTGATGTCCAATTTTTCTTTATCTAAATCATTTGATACTCTCATCTTACTCTTTCCTATGTTCACTTTCAACTTTCTACCTTTACACACATTCCCAGATTCGTCCACTAACCTTTGCAATTTTTCTTTAGAATCTCCCATAAGCACAGTATCATCAGCAAAAAGTAACTGTGTCACTTCTCATTTTGTATTTAATTCCCCATAATTTAATCCCACCCCTCTCCTGAACACACTAGCATTTACTTCTTTTGCAACCCCATCTATAAATATATTAAACAACCATGGTGACATTACACATCCCTGTCTAAGACCTACTTTTACCGGGAAGTAGTCTCCCTCTCTTCTACACACACTATCCTGAGCCTCACTATTCTCAAAAAAACTTTTTACAGCATTTAGTAACTTACCACTTATTCCATATACTTGCAACATCTGCCACATTGCTCCCCTATCCACTCTATCATATGCCTTTTCTAAATCCATAAATGCAATAAAAACTTCCCTACCTTTATCTAAATACTTCTCACATACATGCTTCAATGTAATCACTTGATCTACACATCCCCTAAATGCTCTAAAACCTCCTTGCTCATCTGCAATTCTACATTCTGTCTTGCCTCTAATTCTTTCAATAATAACCCTACCGTACACTTTTCCTGGTATACTCAGTAAACTTACTCCTCTATAATTTTTACAATCTCTTTTGTCCTCCTTCCCTTTATATAAAGGGACTATACATGCTCTCTGCCAATCCCTAGGTACCTTCCCCTCTTTCATACATTTATTAAACAAAAATACCAACCACTCCAACACTGTCCCCCCTTGCTTTTAACAATTGTCATGATCCCGTCAGTTCCAGCTGCTTTACCCTCTTTCTTTCTACGTAATGCCTCGAGCACTTTCCCCACACTCACATCCTGTTCTTCTTCACTCCTAAAAGATGGTATGCCTCCCTGGCCAGTGCATGAAATTACCGCCTCCCTCTCTTCGTCAACATTTAAAAGTTCCTCAAAATATTCTTGCCATCTACCCAATACCTCCATTTCCCCATCTACTAACTCCCCTACTCTGTTTTTAACTGACAAATCCATTCGTTCCTTAGGCTTTCTTAACTTGTTTAACTTGCTCCACTCTGTCATCTGGTCTCCTTTTGCATTCTCACCACTTTCCTCACCTTTCTTTTACTCTCCATATACTCTACTCTTCTTGTAACACTTCTGCTTTGTAAATTCCTCTCATAAGCTACCTTTTTCTCTTTTATGACACCCTTTACTTCATCATTCCACCAATCACTCCTCTTTCCTCCTGCACCCACCCTCCTATAACCACAAACGTCTGCACCACATTCCAATACTGCATTTTTAAAACTATTCCAACCCTCTTCAACCTTCCCCACTACTCGCTTGCACCAGACCACCTTTCTGCCAATAGTTGCTTATGTTTCACCTGAACTTCCTCCTCCCTTAGTTTATACACTTTTGCCTCCCTCTTACTTATTGCCATTTACCTCTTATCCCATCTACCTCTTACTCTAACTGTAGCTACAACTAGATAATGATCCGATATATCAGTTGCCCCTCTATAAACGTGTACATGCTGGAACCTACCCATCAACCTTATATCCACCAGTACATAATCTAACAAACTACTTTCATTACGTGCTCTGTCATACCTTGTATATTTATTTAACCTCTTTTTCATAAAATGTGTATTACTTATTACCAAACCTCTTTCTACACATTGCTCAATTAAAGGCTTCTCATTTTCATTTACCCCTGGCACCCGAAATTTACCTACTATTCCCTCCACAAAATTTTTACCCACTTTAGCATTAAAATCGCCAACCACAAGTACTCACACTTGGTTCAAAACTCCCCATGCATTCACTCAACATTTCCGAAAATCTCTCTCTCTCTCTCTATACTTCTCCCTTCCCCAGGTGCATGTACGCTTATTGTAACCCACTTCTCACATCCAATCTTTATTTTACTCCACATAATCCTTGAATTTATACATTTATAGTCCCTCTTTTCCTGCCATATCTTATCCTGCAACATTATTGCTACTCCTTCTTTAGCTCTAACTCTGTTTGAAACCCCTGACCTAATCCCATTTATTTCTCTCCACTGAAACTCGCCTACCCCCTTCAGCTTTGTTTCACTTAAAGCCAGGACATCCAGCTTCTTCACATTCATAACATCCACAATCATCTCTTTCTTATCATTCACACAACATCTATGCACATTATATGTCTCGTAACAATAAAAATGCTTTCAAATGAGCTGATGTTGGTAATAGCTCTTAGCTTGTCAATAAAGCTAAGTATCCTTACCCTAACCTTGTCAAACCCTGTAAAAAAAAAAAAATAAGGAGAGACGTGGAGTGTGTAAACAAGCAGACGATTGTCTGGTTAGGGTTCATACAAACGCCTTATATTGTGTACAAGTTGTCTCCATGTTGGTACAGTAAAATAAATAGAGCAACACTTTCATTCTCATGTAATACTCCACTTGTAGAAGGAATAATGCTCTGAGTGAAGGTATACGAACGTAATAATTTTCTTCAGTTACCCACAGTAATTCTGTTGTGTACACATTTTCTTTGGTGTTGAACTGGAGAAAAATGTTATTCTTTCCGACACTACGACAAGACTGGAAAAACGTGTTATATTTGTTAATTTATTCTACTGTGGGGTGTATTTATCGTGTTTGTTATATAATTTTGAAAAAAATGTCATAGATGGATTAATCAAAATGTCTATATTAACATAATGTATGACATTTAATGCACCTTGGTGATTATTATCATTATGGCATCTGCAAGACTAATAAGACATTCTTAGTGATTTTAACTTGTACCTGCATGCCAGCACAGTGTGTAAGTTTATTTAGGTACAGGTACACATAAGTATAATTATCAGAGTATATATAAAATATGAAATAACTTTAAAACAATTCAGAACGCCATGAAGCGGGGGCCTACTGTATTGTAATAATTGTATAAATAAGATCGGTGTATTTGTGAATTCACATCAGACCCACCAGTTGGTGTGTATTGGACGCAAGATGTGATTTAATTACTCCCTTACATCAGCAAAAATTGAACATTTTCATTACTTTGAGCTCAATTTCAAGCTATTTTCAGCCCCCCCCCCAAAAAAAAAAATCAAAATAATTTTTATTACTGTAATATATCTTCTGTTCTATCACCTATGACCAAGAAACAGAATGCATCCATAAAAACCATACGAAAATACACCACCAAGTTGCTGTTTTAAACAAAAACATGGTCACAGTTTTTTTCTTGTGCTCTGCGTGCTTCAGGATTTTTTTAATATGGTACACACTTATCAAATAGTGATACCCTGAGTTTCAAATTTTCTTCATTCCAGAAAGCTGTTTGAGTGCCGTTACTTAACGAATTTGTTCCCATAAGGAATAATGAAAATTAGATTAGTCTGTTTCAGACCTCCAAAAATGCACTCACAAAAGCACTTACAATAATACACTTACATAATTGGTTGAGTTGGGAGCAGTTCGAAACTCGGGGTACCACTGTAGACCCATTCTATCATATCTAGACTCAAATTTATCGCTCATAGCTTGAGTGAGCTGAGCTCGTGTTGTAGTACCACGGCACTAACAGTGACCTCAAAGCCATTGTACTATAGCACATTCAGCTATAGGGTTATAACAATAGATGCAGTTGGCATGTATAAATAAAATTCCATGAAAGTTGGTATTAGCTCTAACATGTTCGGTAGGGTGTATCTTGCACTTAGAGAACTAGACTATCAAGCCTTTTAAAACTCAATAAGTGAATGATCAGAACAAATTTAGTGCTTCACATAAGTAAATGATTTTTTAATGTGATTAATATAAAATGTTTTAACAGGGTCTAGAGGTTGATCACCTTGTGATTGAGCATATCATGGTACAACGAGCACGTCAAATGCGACGTCGCACATACCGTGCTCATGGTCGTATCAATCCGTTTATGTCCTCTCCTTGCCACATCGAAGTTATCCTGGCTGAGAAAGAGCAGGTTGTGGCCAAGGCCCAAGATGAACCAGAAAAGAAGAAGGTTTCAAAGAAGAAACTGGCCCGTCAGAAGCTTATGGCTGCCAGGGAATAGCTTGTAACATCGTAATAAAGAAAAAAAGCCAAAATACGGTTTGATTACCCTAGTAGCATTTAAAATTACATGCATATAAATTAATCTTAGCGTGCGGTAGGTACTGTTTGACATATTAACCTCTTCATAGATGTGCATTCAGATCTGTTGATTATAAACATTAACACCCAATGATTTGGTGATGCAGTAACTAACAGTATATTTGAATAGGTTTTTTATTTTTTGTTACGAAATCAGTATACAGGAAATTTTTATAAGTACACTGTACATGCATTCATCCTTTTACAGGAAGAAGCAATAAAGCTTTTATTAATAATCTTGAGTGCAAGTCATGGAGTGGCTAGCAATTGGTTTTACCTCTTTCATTGTCCAGATCCCTAAAATTAACCATTTCCATGGCTGTCATGAACTATGTCACTGAGGCAAAGGCTTAGTTCACCAAGGTATTAGTAAATTTTGGCCTAGATATGAGAAAATAGGTCTGCATGGGGGCTGCGCGTGTGTGTGCGCACACGCACACTGTATAAAAACAATTCTGCCCCCATGTGGTACTTGATAGGAGCAAAACTGATCATGTGCTTGGTTTAAAAAAGCATCTTTGAGGTGTTTTCTAGGAATTTTATGGTTTTTACTGGCTGTTTCTTGGTACTGTTTGATAGAATAGAAGACATGGGTGGTTGGTTTCAGGACTGGTGGCTTCAAATTAGGCTCAAAGCTGAAACGTTTGATTTTTGGTGTATTTTATTATGTTTTATTTGGGAAATAGAGAAAATCTATTTTTGTGTGATATGATTTTTTTCAGTGGAAGGCAAGTATAATATAGGAGAGGCCCTGGGATATGATTAATGAACAAGAAATGTTTGCCAGGAATATATATTTTGTACAATTTTTAAATTTGTATTTTTTCGATGTGTAAAATTGGCTGAATTTGACTTCTGTGCAGTTCTAAAACTAACAAAAATATTCTGTTTAAGTGGTGTCTTCCATTCTGTTAATTGATACCAAGAAACAGCCAACAGAACCATAAAAACCATTCTAGAAAAAACCTTGGTTGTTGTTTTAAACCAAGCATATGTTTTATTTTTCCTATCATGCACAGCATGTGGCGAATTTCTCTTTATACTGTGCACACTCGCCGCACTAACCCATTCTCCCATAACTACGTCCAAATTTAACGCTTGACTCGTGTGAATGAGCTGAGTTCATGGTGTAGAACTATGTGAGGAACCCTGGCCTGAGTGTGACGTTCTAAGTGATGGCTGCTGAAAGGGTTGATGACCATACTATGCATAATCATGTGCATATCCTTGTAGGGTATAAACTTGACCTGCCCTTGCCACACTTTTAAGTACCCAGGTAGGTAGACCTTTTGATATAGGTTTGAAGACTTTGTTTTCCAAATCATATCCTAGCCCTGGGGCAACAGCTTGATCAGCCAGGCTGTTTCTGCTGGTGACTGGCTGGCCCATATCCATCATAGCCTGGTTGATCTGGAAAATAAAAGTTTATCAGAATTTTTGATATCAGCAGGTTATCATCATTAATAAAATTATTAGCTATTACAGGTTTAAGAAAGGTAACATAATTATCTCAGATGTTTGATAAACTTTATTAAACCTTAATTTTTTTTAACTATTCTTCTTGTTGCATTACTTTGATAGATGTTGTAATGGCAGCTAGCAGCAGCTATCAAGTAACAGGTTGTTGAGCTCAGTACATGAAAATTACAACCACAGCAAGGTACTGGAGTAGTGAAGTATTCTGCAGTCAGTGATTATCTAAACCTCGAAGCGTCCAATTTCAACTTTGGTCCCACTTATGGTAAGTTGCCTATTTGATTTTATATTTATTTTTGGAGTAAGGAAAGTATTTGCACTTTTGTAATTGTTTTTTATTTTATCTGGAAAGTAGTAATGCTTACATTTTAGAGTACTCTTTTGGTATAAATTATTACATGGAATATTTAACCCTTAAACTGTCCAAGCGTAGATCTACGTTTTTTCAACATTTGAAAGTATGTAAAAAAACGTAGAGCTTCTATTTCATTTTGTACATTTGAAAACGTGTAAAAAAACTTAGATCTACATTTTATTGTTATATTTAAAAATGTTAAAAAACGTCGATCTACTTTTGGAGCACTATGCATGTGAACATAGATCTGTCTGGACAGTTTAAGGGTTAACTAAGGGTCGTCCTCGAAAGGGTTGGAGGGAGGGGGTAAAGGAAGTTTTGTGGGTGAGGGGCTTGGACTTTCAGCAAGCATGTGAGCACATTTGATAGGAGTGAATAGACAAATGGTTTTTGGAACCTGACGAACTGTTGGAGTCTTGAGCAGGGTAATATTTTTGTGAAGGGATTCAGGGAAACCAATTAGCTGAACTTGAGTCCTGGAAATCGGAGATTGGCAGTGTGGAGGGACATTTAAACTGTTGTAACTGAGCGCCTCTGCAAAGATGGTGATTATGTATGAGTGATTGTGAAAGTGTTGAACGATGAAAGTTTTTTATTTGGGGGTTTTTCTTTCTTTTGGGGTCACCCTGCCTCGGTGGGAAACGGCTGATGTGTTAAAAAAAAAATAGCACTGTCACTTGAACTAATAAATTTTAGCAATATCCCAGACCATTCTTGCCTACTTCGTTAAGTCGTCCTAGTGGACCAAGGTTATTTTGCATGCTGCCATTGACTGAAATGTGGATGTAGTTCTTTAACTTTTAATTTAGGTATGCTGAAAGCATATTGGTTAATCATTGGTAACCACCTACTATAAGCACTCGCTTGTGGGGAATCTTGTCCCTCCTCACACATTACAATTCAGCAATGCAAAATGCAGGTGATTACTACCAATTGGACTTAAAAACTAATGACTTGTTTGCCATAGACGGCATTACCAGAGCAGTGAAGCCATGTGTGCTTTTAACCAGTTCCAAACTCCCTTCGAGTGTATTAGAATAGTTTGCTGCTTTACTGTGAAGACCACTTTCCAGTTTCTTGGCAATTGGTGACAGAGGTGGTGCTTTATTCACTTGAAGTATTGGAAGTTTCTCTTGGAGTGTCCCAGTTGCAATAATAAGTGTTCGAATAATTGCTTATTCCAGTACAGTGGTTCCCCGAGTTTCGAACTTTTTTGCTGCAGAAGGCTGCTCGAGTACCTTTACCGAACGAATTTGTTCCCATAAGGAATGATGTAAATTAGATTAGTCCGTTTCAGACCCTTAAAAATACACTTACAACAGCATTTACAATAATACACTTACATAATTAGTCGAGTTGGGAGCAGTTCGAAACTCGGGGTACCGCTGTACTTCAGTCTTAATTCTTCAATGATGTCTTTTATTCCTGTCAATGCCTGTCTCCTTTGTGAACAATAAATCTGTTGGAAATGGAGGGTATGCTGTGTAACCCAGCTATGACCTGTTAACTAGCTGTATCCCACTTCTTGTACATTGGGTGCTCTTGAAATTATTGATTAGTTAGATGTCAGTCAAACTGAAGACCTCGGACACCAAAATTTTGTTTTTGCTAGTTTGATAGAACTCATCACTAAATGTAGTAAAATATGTGCACATACCATACATCAGTATACAGTGGACCCCCGCATACCGTTGGCCTTGCATAACGTTAAATCCGCATACCGATACATTTTATCGCTAAGATTTTGCCTCGCATACCGCTAAAAAACCCGCTCAACGCTGTTCGTCCGAGACGCGTCTAATGTGCGGCCTGAGCCAGCCTCACATGTTCCGCCGGTGGCATTGTTTACAAGCCAGCCTCCGCGGTAACATCCAAGCATACAATCGTAACTTATCGTATTATTACAGTGTTTTTGGTGATTTTATCTGCAAAATAAGTGACCATGGGCCCCAAGAAAGCTTCTAGTGACAACCTTGTGGTAAAAAGGGTGAGAAATATTTTTCGAAATACTGTGGTAACCATGGTCAACTGCTGATGCTGCTGCTGCTGTAGCACCGTCAGCTGCTGCTGCTGCTGTAGCACCGTCAGCTGCTGCTGCTGCTGTGGCACCGTCAGCTGCTGCTGCTGCTGTGGCACCGTCAGCTGCTGCTGCTGCTGTAGCACCGTCAGCTGCTGCTGCTGCTGCTGTAGCACCGTCAGCTGTGCTGCTGCTGTAGCACCGTCAGCTGCTGCTGCTGCTGTAGCACCGTCGCTGCTGCTGTGCTGTAGCACCGTCAGCTGCTGCTGCTGCTGTAAACACCGTCAGTGCTGCTGCTGCTGTACCCCCGTCAGCTTGCTGCTGCTTGTTGCTGCTGCGCATCGTTGCTTTCTGCTGTAGCATCGTCTGCTGCTGCTGTAGCACTGTCAGCTGCTGCTGCACTGTCAGCTGCTGCTGCTGCTGCTGCTGCGTAGCACTGTTGTTGGTGTGGCTTATTGAGAATACCAAGAAACAATTAACCCCAGAGGGTTAGCCACCCAGGATAACCCAACAAAGTGTGTCATCGAAGACTGTAACTTATTTCCATTGGGGTCCTTAATCTTGTCTCCCAGGATGCAACCCACACCAGTCGACTAACACCCAGGTGAACAGGGAAAAACGCCTGGAACTAGTGCTCATATTAGTGAATTTAACCCCTTCAGGGTCCAAGGCCCAAATCTGAAGTGGTGCCCCAGTGTCCAAGAATTTAAAAAAAAAAAAAAAATTATTTTTTTCTTGTGAAATGGTAGAGAATCTTTTTGTGAAGGTAATAAAACAAAAAGTACGAAATTTGATGGAAAATTGACGAAATTATGCTCGCACGAATTTTGATGTGTCAGTGATATTTACGAATCGGCGATTTTGCCGACTTTGACTCCCATTTTAGGCCAATTTTACACAAAGTTCAAAATATTCCAATTTCAAAATAGGGTCCAGAATAAACAATGTAGGTATTCCTGGAACTAAACTAACATTTCCTCTGTTCATTAGTTACGTTTTGAGGCTTTACAAATAAATTACGTTTTGATTTTTTATTCACATAATGAATTTTTATTCACACCAAAAAATAGAAGATTTACTGTTATGCAGTACTGTAATAATTGTAT